GCCCATGCACTGCTTTATATGTTAAATTTAGAGTCTTATAATCAATACTGGACTTGACAGGAAGCCAGTGAAGTTGCTGATGCTTTTCCATCAAACATTTTTGGTGTGATATTTTTTAAAATTATGTTTTTGTTGGTATTATGAACTGTACATGACCTCAAATGCTTAAGATCCAACCATATGTTCAATTCTCCTGCATTCAGCATTCAGATTTTATGCAACATAAGGGAAACATTTGAGTGTCTTCATTTATTCATGCGCCTGCGTGAACATCTCTAAACCCCAGAGAGAAAGAGGTCAGAATTTTCTCAAAGTCAAATAAGTAGTATTGTATTCAGGCCGGTTACTGCTGTACAATTTATAAACAACAACAACAACAAAAACGTTGGAAGAACAACAAAATAAGATATTTTGAAGAATGTTGGAAACCTGTAACCATTGACTTCCATTTGTGTTTCCTACACCAGGGGTCACCAATATCTGTCCTGCAGGGCCAGTGTCCCTGCAGGGTTTAGCTCTAACTTGCCTCAACACACCTGTCAGGGTGTTTGAGTATACCTAGTAAGACCTTGATTAGCTTGTTCAGGTGTGTTTGATTTGGGTTGGAGCTAAAATCTGCAGGACACTGGCCCTCCAGGAACAAGTTTGGTGACCCCTGTCCTACACCGTAAAAAAAAAATCTTGCTGACATATTTTTTAGTTGAAGTTATATCAAATCAGACTTAAACGTTACATGTGTGAACATACAGAGAAACTAAATGTCATGTCTCGCAGGACAACGATGCTACATAATTAATCATAAATACAAAAACAACACTTAACATTGGAGTTATTTAAAAAAAAAATATATGCATAACTACATATCTATACACATAAGACAGGCTATACAAGTACCTTAACATGAGACTAAACAATGTTGTGCAGGATATTTAATACATAGTGAACACACTGGTTTAGTATTATTATTAATACTACCTCCAGAAAGGTAATAATAGGTCTGCACTACTAAAAAGCATGGCATGTCTTCAAAAACCACTGCATGTTCATTGCGTTTCACCAATCTTGGTCCTGGAGGGGCAGTGTCCCTGCAGAGCTTAGCTCCAAATTGCCTTAACACACCTGCCTGGGTGTGTCAAGTATACCTAAGACCTTGATTAGCTTGTTTAGGTGTGTTTGATTGATTAGAGTTAAAATCTGCAGGACACCGGCCTCCAGGAACAAGGTTGGTGGCCCCTGTCCTACACTGTAAAAAATTCTTGCTCACTTAATTTTTTTTTGTTATTTTTAAGTGAAGTTTAAGTTAAAATAGCTCCATATGACAGCCATCTTCGTTTTGAAGAATCCCCCCTTCCACCCTACTTCTCCTCCTTTCCTAGATGGGTGGCACGGTGACCCGGTGGTTAGCACTGTTGCCTCATAGCAAAAACGTCACTGGTTCTAGTCCTTACCAAGCCAGCTGACGTTTCTGTGCGGAGTTTACACATTCTCCCTGTGCTTACGTGGCTTTCCCCTGGGTTAGGTTCATTGACTAATCCAAATCGGCACGATAGACATGCTCCTAGTAAGTAGTTATCTCTTAATAGCAATCACTATCTGTTCATTAGCTACTACAGCAGGGGAGTTCTCGAGATCTACCTGAGCTCAAACTCCCCTCTCACCTTGCAAACGAGAAGGAGCCCCGGGCTCGAGGATCTTATGAACTCGGGGCTCTCTCCCGGGACAGCATGCCAAACAAGCTTTATAAACAATCATCAGCTAAGTGTGAACTCTTGAACATATTAAGTTAAACTTTGCATAACTTAAAAAATTTAGTGGGCGACACGGTTACCTGCCAACACGCCCGTATTTCCTCTCCCGCCACCTTCCCCTTCTGTTATTTCTCCTGGAAAACATCCATGAAAATTCCCGGCCTGCAGCTTTTTGGTACAGTCTGTAACACCCCCTGGTCGCCATTTTTTGTGATAACAGCCGGTGCATACTACAGTTAATTTCCCGGCTCTCAGCAGTGTTATTCAGACATCTCACACCGACTCCTCTTGAAACAGGGTTGGAACTAAACTGTGCAGGGCTTCGGCCCTCCAGGAATTGAGTTTGACACCCCTGTTCTAGGAGAACTGAAAAAGCTAAATTGGCCATAGTGTATAAGTGCGCGAGTGTATGAGTGTTTCCCAGTACTGGATTGCGGCTGGAAGGGCATCCGCTGCGTAAAACATATGCTGGAATAGTTAATGGTTCATTCCACTGCGGCGACCCCTAATGAATAAGTGACTAAGCTGAAGGAAAATGAATAAACGAATGAATCATTTAGGACAACTTAACTGTTTTTAGTTCACTTCAATTTGTTAAGTTGACTTAATGGTTTGTGTTTGGACAACATGAATGAATTGTATGTAACCCTGCATTTCTTACAGCATACGCTTTACACTCTGTTAATAACAACAGTTGCATAAACAAGTAAATGGATTAAGTCAATTTCCATAATGCCACACAAACACCATCATCATCAAGCGAGATTATTGTCAGGTTATTTAATCATCAAACTGCAGGCGTCTGCAGTCGCCTGTGAGGAACGAAAGCCGCTCTTTCCACTTCATTATTTCTTTGTCGTCTAAATACCAAAGTGCAGCTTCAGAGCAGCCTTTGGATGAGTATTGAGTGTGTGAGGCTGTTATATAACATCTGTGAGTGTTGCACATGCTTTAATAATGCATCAGACTTCACTGCCGGTCTGAGCAGAGGAGCCTCTTCATTTCCTCTTCCTCTCCTTCTGTCCTTCTGGCTTACAGTTGCTTCCTATAATCCTAAAAGGCTTGTGATGCCAAATTGACACTGCACAGGTGGCGCAGAACAGGCAGTTATAGCCTTATATTGATTATTTTAAGGGATACTTTAACCAGAAATGATAATTCTGTCATTTACACATCCACCACCTTTATGAGTTTCTTTCTTCTGTTGAACACAAAAGAAGATATTTTTAAGAATGTTGAAAACCGGTCACCTTATATGACAAACAAATTGAAGTCAATGGTTACAGGTTTTCAGCATTCTTTAAATTATCTTCTTAAGTGTTCAACAGAGGAAAGAAACTCAAACAGGTTTTTTTTTAGGTAAACTATCCCTTTAATGCTGCTCGGAGGTGACATGAATGCATTATAGCATTAGGCCACAGGTAGGCTAATTCAGATGTAAAGAAGTCTTGAAGTACAATTTACTCACACTCAAGTGGTTCCAAACCTATTTGAGTTTTCTTTTTATGTTGAACACAAAAGAAGATATTTTGAAACATGTTGAAATTGTGTAAACGTCAACTTCCATAGTGATAACAAATAGGCTACTGTAAAGGTCAATGGTTACAGGTTTTCAGCATGCTTCAAAATATCTTCTTGTCTTGGACTGCTCTTAAATCAGGAATGTCAAACTCAATTCCTGGAGGGCCGAAGCCCTGCACAGTTTAGTTCCAACCCTGCTCCAACACACTTACCTGTAGGTTTCAAACAAGCCTGAAGGACTCAATTAGTTTGATCAGGTGTGTTTAATTAGGGTTGGAACTAAACTGTGCAGAGCTGCGGCCCTTTTGGAACTGAGTTTGACACCTGTGTCTTAAATGGTCAGATTTTGATTAAAAAGTAACCAAAACATTTTTTTTTCAGTTGATTAATTTACAGGTGTTTATTGTTCACTTTGAAGCTAACAATGTGTGCTAGCAAAATAAACAGTACAATTTTATTTCATGCAGACGTAATAATAATAATAATAATAATAATAATAATAATAACAATAGCAACAGCAACAACTATAATAATAATAATAATAATAATAATAATAATAATAACAATAGCAACAGCAACAACTATAATAATAATAATAATAATAATAATAATAATAATAATAAAGCAAAAAGTGAATTAGGACAAATTATTAATTTAATTTCTTCTGTAATTATTTTTAAACAACAAAAGCCAATTTTATTTTTTTTATTCATGAATGAAAATACACAAACAGAATAAGGAGATCAATACAAAATAAGAAAATACAAGTTTTATTAACCACATAGAGACTTTACATTTCTTAACAAGAATAAAATAAGAAAAAAAGAAAGCAATGGAGAAGAGAAAGAAAAAACAAAAAACAGAGGAGAGGGTACATAATTATTAAATTACATACAAATATATTACGCACAATTTCCAATTTTAGTTATTAACAAGAGTTATTAATGCACTTTTTCTACAGGAAATGCATATATACAAACATTTTATGTAAAAATGTTAAAGGAGGAGCATATATTAATTGTTTTAATATATTTAATGTTAAAATGAAATATTAAAAATATTTGTTTTAATATTTAATTGCTTTTCTATTTTGAGACTTGGAAATCACTTTTATATACATTTGAATCTCTTTTTCTAACACCATGAAGAGAGGTTTGCTTTTGGAAAACTTGGATTTAGGCCATGTATGTGAAATTTACATAATAATAAAATAAAATTTATAATAAAAGCAGCATCTTTTAAAGAGCGATCCTTAACATAAAATCCCCAAATCACATGTTTATAAGATAAGGAAAAGGATTTTAAAATATTATAAGCAATAAAAGCTTCAACCAAAAGCTTCAAAAGCTTTATCTAAAAAAGTCGAGTGTATTGGCAAGACCAAAATAAATGTGAAATAGTTTCATTAAAGCTTTCAGAAAAACAGCATTCTAACTGAACATCAATTTTAAATTTTTGTAGAAATAATTTTGTGGGATAAACTCTATGAAGTAATTTAAATTATATTTCTTAGTCTTATTTGTAATAAAAAAAAATTGAGGTAATGACCATACTTGAGTCCAGTTTATATTATCAGAGATATTGTTCCAGTAAAAAATAACATGCGGTATAGACATATTTTCTTTTAAGATTAAATATCTAATTTTTGATTATTAGGCTTAAATCCAGAAAAACAGATAAACCCAACCGAGGTTTGTTCAGCCAAAAGCCACTTTCTCGACAAATTACCGTTCAGGAAGTGACATCATAGATTGGAGGCAACGTAACCACAACGGTGAGTATATTTACCAACGGATTTACTGAATTTCTCGATGTTTTAAAGTTTGTCTTGATTTTTCTGGTCTAATTGAGTCATAAATCGTGAATAATACAGTTAAAGTGATCGGTATGCTTACTTTTCAAGAGATAATCAGTCAAAATGAACTTCAGGTTTAGTCTTGTACTGCTGTAAGGCCAGCAGCCAAGTCAAAATGAACGGTTATTCTAGCCGCCAATGTATTTCGGTAGTCGTTCATACACTGCGTATTACGGTAGAGCGCCAAAGAGCTGAACTGAACACAAATACTGTTGGCAGTTTGTCATGATACATCTGCGTCTCTCACTGACTGATGATAAATGCCAAGAGGACGCCAATATCAACTCTTTAAATGCTAAATATGATATTTTAAAGCTCGATAGCTCAAGAGGACAATGATTTATAATCACGAAATCAACTGTAAAATGTTCATAGATTGCTCAGATACAATGCAGACCTTTTAAATGTTTTATATTTATGACAATAATCTGTCGAGTCAAAAATGCTTTTTTATGTTCATAACCGAATATCATCAACTGAATATCATATTTTAAAGCTTGATAACTTTACAGGACAATGACTTACAATCACAAAATCAGCTGTAAATTGTCCATGTAGTTCTCAAATATAATGCACACCTTTTACATCTTTGATATACAGTTGAAATCAGAATTATTAGCCCCCCTGAATTATTAGCGCCTGTTTAATTTTTCCCCAATTTCTGTTTAACAGAGATTTTTTCAACACATTTCTAAACCTAATAGTTTTAATAACTCATCTCTAATAACTGATTTATTTTATCTTTGCCATGATGACAGTAAATAATATTTTACTAGATATTTTTCAAGACACTTCTATACCACTTAATGTGACATTTAAAGGCTTAACTAGGTTAATTAGGTTAACTAGGCAGGTTAGGGTAATTAGGCAAGTTATTGTATAATGATGGTTTGTTCTGTAGACTATGGAATAAAAACATGGCTTAAAGGGGCTAATAATTTTGACCTTAAAATGATGTATAAAAAATAAAAAACTGCCTTTATTCTAGCCGAAATAAAACAAATAAGAGTTTACAAACAAATCAGACATACTGTGAAAATTTCCCTGCTCTGTTAAACATCTTTTAGGAAATATTGAAAAAAGAAGAAAAAAAGTCAAAGGGGCTAATAATTCTGACTTCAAGTATGACAAAACTTGAAATATCTTGAGGTTAAAAATGTTATTATTTTCATAACCAAATGACCACAAATTCTAATAAACATATTTTAAACCTCAATAGCTTTTTAAAAAAATCACATTGTTAAGCTCAGAATTTCAGTTCATTGTAATAAATCTACATGAACACTTTAAAGTTGGTTTTGTGATTGTAAATGGTTCTCCTACGAGGTTAAAATGATATGATGCATGCCATAAAATACAGAAACCACAATAAATGGTGCAGACCACAATAGATATGTGTCGAGAAACCTCAAAAACTGACAAATCCAGCTACATCCGTAGTCATCAGTACTGAAGAAGATCTTAGAGGTGCTGACTCTAAACAGAAACCAGTTGTATTCATTTTTGGATGTGAGCAATTTCAGCGTTATGGATGTGACATTTGCAGTAAAACCTTAACATAAATTCACAGAGGAAGTACAGTATATGTTAACATTATATTGAAACATCTATTTATGTTTTCCAAAACAACTAAACTCAGAGTTATGGAATCAGAAAAATTAATAATCTATACATTTTTGATATGTTAAATGCGGAAAACAAACATGTGTTAGGGATGTGACCAAAAGTCTGCGAGTTTGCTGTATATAACATAATATGTAGAAATTCTGTGAATTAAACTGCACAAGCCAGAAAAATAATGCTAAGTAAAAGGATAAGAGTCGGCTCACTAGAGAACAAACATGATTGATTTTATTTTATTTAACATTTTTGCATTTATGAGGAAAAATATCCATTATGTATGTGAGACCTCTCTGTTACGATCGTGACAGATGTGAAATTGCCACTTGTGTGACTTTGATAAATCATATATAATAGTTTGAAAGCATTGACGGACTCATTTGAGTATTTTTGAAGTACTGTCAAATATTTGTTTTGCACAAAAAAAGTAGAAACGGTTTCACTAAAACTACATTTTTTTTCATGGCAAGGTTGACATTTACACGGAATTGCTCTTATTCCAACCCACTTGCATTGTGGTCAGTGGGTGTCAAAGAAAGGTAAACAAAAGGTAATCAAAGATCGTGAAAAAATGATTTGATAACTATTGATCTGTGCCTTTTCAGCCTAAATCCAGATGGACACTTGTGTTACGTAAAATAAAAAGCTTTCATTAATTTTAAATTTCTGGTTACTGTAGACTACACAATGTGGATTCAGCTGGGTTCGTGGTTTTGGTGTGTGCTGCAGGTAAAGTGCTAAATACGTCAAAACTAAATAATGACTGTTAGTCTTGTTATTTAAAAGCAAGAGTCATGTGTTTAGCACAAAACATCATGCAAGTATGCAATATTATGTTTGTTTTTTGTCTTAGTTAAAGCAGTGTTAATTAATTGAGTATAAACTCTCTGTTTTCTAGATGACACACCAGTTTTTTGCACAGCAGTTCCTGATTTTGGAAAGATGTATCATGTCAAAGGTATATTTCTGCCTCTTTACATAGATCACTCCAGTACAGTTCACTTCTTTTTCAGTGTTTTACGAGTATCTCTTTTATACAGGTGTGCTGTCTTTGCCTCATTCTGAGATAGAGGAGCCGTTTGAAGCTTGGTACGATCTTGATGGGAACAGAAGTCACATTGACTATCCTAATAGCACAGTGCGCACCTTTCAGATTGGAAATGACTTGGATTTTGGTGCCATTTACAAGATCACACCAGTCCTTCCTCCCAGTGATATTAAGTGTTTCGAGCTTAAAGGAACTAAAGACGATCCAATAGAGCCGTGTAGTACTTCAAATTTCTTTTTCTTTTTAAAGTAATTTGTATGCAATGCTCTTCAATATGAAGGCCCACACCGAATTATTTAATCATTTTATTTAATTGTGTAAAATTAAATATATATTTATATTATATAAATATAAATTTCACTAACCTTAATGGATATTTTTGTAAGTGTTTAGATGATTTATCTACAAAACAATTTGTAAAGTAATATTTTTATGTCATTTAGTACAATGGTTCCCAACCTTTTTTTGCCTGAGACCCACTTTTCCTCTGGAAACTATTATAAGCCCCCTCCCCACATTTAATGATATCACCGCTAATATACGTTTGACGTAAGGATGACAAAAAATTTAGTTTTCATACACACTGTATGTTTATTACTATATCTAGATATGTTCATGCACAAATAATAGCCTAAAGTAAAATATAAAAACAAAACATCAGTATTATTTGTAATATTTGTAATTATTGTAACTAAAAAATGTAAACCTTTGGAGGTTTGACATTAACTAACCATGATTTCCCAATCATATGATTCCCCATTTACTATAAATAACCACAGTTTTCAGTCCACATTTGTCTTCGTATGAAAGAAACCCTCCTTTTCCTCCGCCTTCTCCTTCTTTTCATAGATCAGGCGGCACGGCGGCCCAGTGATTAGCACTGTTGCCCCAGAGCAAGAACACTGCCAGCCCTGGTCCTCGCCAGGCTGGTGAGTGTTTCTGTGCAGAGTTTGTATATTCTCCCCATGTCCTCGTGGGTTTCATCCATGTCCTGCAAAGTTTAGTTCCAACCCCAATTAGACACACCTGGGCTAGCTAATCAAGCTCGTACTCAGCGTACTAGAAACATCCATGCAGGTGTGTTGAAAAAAGTTGGAACTAAAATCTGCAGGACGCCGGCCCTCCAGGACCGAGTTTGGACACCCCTGGATTAAGCAATTCAGGCACTCGTCTAACTCCCTTCCTCCTCAAGTGTTTCCTTAGCTACTGCAGCCAGGGAGTTTGAGATCAACCTAAGCTCAAGCTCCCCTCTTGCTCTTTGAATGGGAGGGAGCCCTGGGCTTGAGGATCCCTTGAGCTCAGGGCTCTCTCCCGGGTTTGCATGCCAAACAAGCTCATATTAAATCATCAGCTAAGTGTGAACTCTTGAAAGGTAAATTAAGATGTCAGGGGTTCTTCATCTTGGTCCTGGAGGGTCGGTGTACTGCAGATTTTTGCTACAACCCCAATCAGACACACCTGGACTAACTAATCAAGCTCTTACTAGGCTTTCTAGAAACATCCCTACAGGTGTGTTAAAGCAAGTCGGAGCTAAAATCTTTAGGACATCGGACCTACAGGACAGAGTTTGAGAATGCCTGGTGTAGGTTATACAGTGGGTTGTTAATTGTAGAGATCCTCTAATTAAAAATAAGAAAAAACCCTGAAAGTTCTGAAAGAGCCTCAGCCAGATCACAAAAACAAACAGAAAAGTAACTCAAATGTAACGTAACGCATTACTTACCAAAACAAATAACCACGTAGCACTAGCTACTTTTTTGTGGAGTACATAATGTCATGCATTACTTTCAAAAGTAACTTTCCACAACACTGTTTCTAGTTGATTTTGCATTCTAAACACTTAATGAAAGCTATGTTTGTTTTTTCATGTTCAACTTTTAGCTCCTAAACTCTTCAAACCATTCAGAATAAATTACATTTTTTTTAATGAAATATGGGCAGAAATAGTAAAAAAAGAGGCTGTCTGAACCCGTTTTGTTATAGACGATAGGACGAATTTAAATAAAGAATAAACTGAATGATCTGCAAATGTGTATAAAATCTTTGTCTGTTTTGCAGTTTGAGAAAATGGAGGATTGCAAAGGCGTTCAGTGTGAGGTCTGGAAAAAAAGTCATAGAGGCTGGCCATAAGAAGAACACATACCGTCTTGTGGGTCACACGTGGAGAGGCAGCTTATTCTCCAGCCACACCACACCACTTTGAGATGGAGGGCTTCAACTCTCTTGTGGGATCCCACAATGACAAATACAGAATTGAGTACAGTGAATTCTGCACACAATCTGAGCCTGATGTTTTCACTCCACCTGCAGGTAACATGGAGAAAACACACACTCAGAGAAATGCTTTTGTCTGCCTCTGTTTACAGATCATTTTGTTAAATGTTGACTAAGGTGTTGTGTGTTTAGGATTTACCTGTGAAGAGTTTCCTGAGCCTCCTGAGGAGCGACAAATATTAGCCAATCCCTTTCAAGACTATGTCAACACCCACCCTGTTATCCACGCCCACTGGATGTTTGGCCCCTTTAAGGAGAAGTTTAATCGACAGTATGAAAGTGAGGAGCACGAGGAATGCGAGAACCTCTTTCTGCATACTTTCAGGTGATGAATAACAGCTAACATCACATTGAAGAAAAATAGAAATATCTGAACTTGTCTGATTTTATTATGTTTTTTTCCTTCCTCTTCAGTTTTGTGCACTCCAACAACAGAGCTGGTCTTACATATAGTGTTGGTATCAATAACTTCGCACACAAGAAAAAGGAAGAGTTGGCCAGGATGACAGGAGGTTTACTTCCGAAAAAGAAAAAGGAGGATGCAAAATAGTCCACAGAATAGTACAACTGACAAAATAGTGGCAAACAAATAATTACAGTTTAATGAATGTCTCAGTCAACAGACCTACACAGTTATCTGATGAGAATTGTGGTAATTTAATCTTTTCTAACCATATAACTTGATTAAATTAATTCTGTATCTCCAAGCTTATTTGGCAAACAAATATGATTTTCAAACCCAACTGTACATCAATTATGATTAAACTATAGATAAAAACCACATGTTTTTTCCCAATAAAACAAATACTTTTCTTGCTCATTTTTGTCACCTTTTTCATTTTTTCAGTGTCATTTAATGTTTCAAAAATAATTTCCTAAATCTCATTTCCCTACATTTCACTGATGAGAAATTAAACCTGTTTCGATTGCTGCAGCAACATTTAGATGGTCTTGTTGAGATTGTCTTGGCACCACAGTGTACACATCTTCTGATGGCTACTTCTAGCAGGATAATGCACCATGTCATAAAGTGTGAATCATCTCAGACTGGTTTCTTGAACATAACAATGAGTTCACTGTACTCAAATGGCCTCCAAAGTCACCAGTTCTTAATCCAATAGAGCACCTTTGGGATGTGGTGAAACTGGAGACTTGCATCAGTGATGTGCAGCCGACAAACTACGGGATGCTAACGTATTAATATAAGAATTATTGTTGATCTAGTTTTAGATTATAAAGGTGTATGTAGTCAAACCTGTTTGACAAAATCTTTTCAAAGTGATTCATAATCAACTCAAATGAAACGTGGCGCCGCGCAAACTGTTCGCTTGAGTCTCAAAAAATTTTGTGTGCTCCGCCAGCTGAAATCATGAAATATTTAAGACCTAGAACAGCAAATTAAAGACTTTATTTTAATTCAATTTCGATTCATAAATTTTAGACTTTAAGACCCCACCGAAAACCCTAACAGAGAATGATCTTAAAGTGGTGGTCTCAAAAATTAAACAAGAATAGACTTATGCTGCAAACGATGTGCTGACCAATCTCATTAAAAATTGAATAAACTATTAATAAATTATATAGTTGTTAGATTAAACTTTTTTTGTGTGTGTGTTGTGAATGATCGTTTATATAGGCATATTGGGGTGTGTGTGAGACCTTGAATTCAACACTTGTTTCTAACCACCCCTAAAAAATAGTGGGGGTTGTGAGTCATTAGCTATGTTTCCATCCAAAATGTGAACGATCTGGATTATCGCATAAACATACAAATTAAACAACGTTACCATCCAATCAAAGCGAACAAAATAGTCACTTCCTGATAAAGTGGTGCCAAATATCAACAGTAAAAACAGAATTTGCTGCAATAGGAGAAGCTGCTTTAATCTTTTCTTCTTCTAATAAACTACTTACGCCTCAGAAGGCAATCCTGACACGCAGTGAATGCACGGTGGTGTTTGAAGGTGTCAGACGCGGAGGACAGACGCTCTTGATTCTGGAGGTCATTAATAATATAATAACACTAATACTGAAATGGTGAAGGTGTTTCAGAATGGTGTTACAGTGTGCACAGCCTGCTGGTTTGATAATTTACTCACATTTTTATCACCACATGATCTCTTTTAACAAAATCCCATGACCTTTTTCAATGCGCATACTGAAATTTGTGCGGTTAAAGTGTTTCCATCGTAGTCTATGCACTTTTTTATAGAATAAAATGTTTATCCTACTCGGTTATGCGCATATGTTTATGCGTATTTTCAAAATTTCTGAGCTTCATGGCATTTCCATCAACCGGTTCATGCGCATATCCAAAATGCGCATAAAAATAGGTGGATGGAAACAGCTTTTGGCATTATTTTAGTGGCCGTGGGCTGAAAAGTTTGGGAACCCCTGAGCTAGTGTGCTCCAAAGAGTGACAAATTATAGCTATAAAACTGATAGAAACATTTAACACTAGCAGTTTGTTACTTCCACCAAAATTGTTAAACTTTTTTCCACATCAATTCATACTGGTTTCTCATCAAATCTTGACCAATCATATACTCTCTAGCATTACATGTTTTGCAACCTGACATTTGATGCACTTGAGCTCAACCAGTTAAGTAGCAGAAAATCATTCACAAAGTGCAAGATGACTACATGAAATGCTTTTTACGTTTACTTATGTGAGACAGTGATATGGTTTTACCTGATTATTTGAGATGTAACCTGCACCAAACATCTCCATAAGTCTGTGATGGAAACTGTCTAATGTTATAAAACAGAGAAAGCATTATAAATAAGACATTTATAATTTTTTTTATTTTAATCAAATAAACACTCTGCTAAATGTTTCAAACTGTGAAAAGGAAGATGCAAAATGCCAGACCCAGCAATACTGAAGGCCACTGTCAGAACACCCTG